GTGTTTTTAGTTTGCTGTGCACATTCAAAATGTTTAAGACAATTAGTTCTCCCGCTACCTGTGAGATTGGTGCCGTGATTAAATTTTTGAGCGCAAGGAATGTTAAACCGGCCAAAATTTATCGTCAAGTGTCAGAAGTTTACAGTGAATACGCGATAAGTGATGGAATGGTGAGAAAGTGGGTAAGAATGTTTAATGCAGGTCGAACAAATGTCCACGCCAAGGCTCGGAGTGGTCGCCCTTCTGTTGGTTTTTCGATGATTTGGTAAGGAATTCATGAGAACAGACGCTTCACAATGACAACTCTTTCAGAGGCATTTCCACAAATTTCACTTACTGTTTTGTTCGAAATTGTGTCTGACCGCTTGAATTATCGGTATGATGGTATTCCCGATGGGTTCCAAAAATGCTCACTGATGTTCACAAAACAAAGCGACTTGGTAGTGCCCTGACATTTCTCACGCAGTACAGTGATGAGGGAGAAAACTTTTTAAACTAAATTGTGACAGGTGATCAAACTTGGGTGTGTCATTTCACACCAGAATCGAAACAACAATTGATGGAGTGGAGACACATTCATTCTCCGAAAAACCAAAAGTTCAAAGTGACAATGTCATCACAAAAAATCATGTGCATCTCTTCTGGGATAGGAAGGCGTTTTGCTTACTGAATTTCTTCCCAGAGGTGAAAACATTAATGCGGCACGATATTGTGAGACTTTAAAAAAACTAAGGCGTGCCATTCAAAACAAACGAAGAGGAATGCTCAGTAAAGGAATTGTGTTGCTCCATGACAATGCTCGGCCCCATACTGCTGGTGTCACTCAATCGTTAATTCGACAGTTTCATTGGGAGCAGTTCGATCACCCGCCGTACAGCTCGCACTTGGCGCCGTCCGACTATCACATGTTCCTGCACATGAAGTGTGAGCTTGGTGGCAAGCGCTTTGGATCTGACGATGACAGGAAAAATGCTGTGGAGTCGTGGTTATCGAAACTGGCGGGAAGTTTCTTTGATGATGGTATACAAAAACTGGTCACCCGCTATGACAAGTGTTTGATCATTGGCGGAAACTATGTTGAAAAATAGTTTAAGGCATGTATTTTCATGTAAAAATAAAATTGGATTCGAAAAAATTGTTTTACTTCCCCCCCCCCAAAACGGTACTTAGTTTACGCATTCGCCTCGTACGTGCGTACAAAGACTGGAATTGTCATAAACAGATAATTATCCTATCATAATAGAGATGCTGTTATGCAGGTCATTTCTGCAGGAATTTAGCTCATATTTTAATTATGCACAAGAATGCGATGTGTACTGAAATTACAAATGTTATTAAAATAGCATTTCTCATTATTATTTCATCACAGTGATGGCAATTTTATTATTAATTTAAAAAAAAGCTTATGCTGAAAAATAATTTAGCATCTCGGTAAAATATGAAATAAGATAAAACAGATAATATAGATAAAATTAGACAGTATAGATGAATTAGACTGTATGATTATGCAAAATTATGCTAGCACTGTTTGCCTATACGTAAAAATAACATCATTAGAGACTATATTTATTATTATTCATTATGTGCTCTGTTATTAAGCACTACACAGAAAGAGAAGGATGCTTCATGGAAGATGTTTTAAGGGGAACTGGTTCATATGCACATACACATGGAGAAAACCTCGAACATGCCCATGCATCCAGCCCATTCGCCTGGACTTGAATCCAGGACTGAACTACCAGAGTTCAGTAGCTTTTATCTCTCGGCCGCTGATGGGCCTTTATTAAGGACTTTCCGCATGAAACTGCCCCATATGTTCGTTGTACGTGTGTAGGTGAAGGAAAAAACAGAAGCTTTATTTAGCTTTAGCAGCAAATAGAACCTTTAAGAACAACCAGTGTATATTGATTTCACTGATATGTCATTAGGTAACATTCAATTGACCAAAGGTATGACCTGACTGTCATCAATACAGGTATAATTTCTTATAAGCAAAAGAATACACATGTACCTATATTTTAATTATTAATACTTATTTTGATTATCTCCTACGAAACAAAGAGTAAATGCTAATTTAATGAGAGATTTTTTTTAAAGTTAAATAATGCTGTAAAACTGTAATTTAACACAATTCCCACAATTTGGATTTGCAAATATTTATAACAAAAGAAATATAGAAAGCAAATATATAAGAGCAATTATTGCTGATCTCATAGGTCTCGACTTAAAGAGGGGAATTAGTCTTTTTCCATAAAATGATCGATAATTGGAATATTATCGTGTTTCGTTTCTTTGGATTTTTGAATAAAACTTCCATGCCAAATGCGAAAAAAATACAATATAATATTTGAATTTAAATCTGTGATTTTCAAATATATATATACACACATAGATATATAGATACGTCTATATATATATATATATATATATATACACACATAGATATATGTATACGTCTCTATATATATACACAGTTATCATATATACATGATATTTACACATATGTACATGTGTATGCTTTTATCTGCATGTGGATATAATATGCATATATCTGTTTGCAAACACATACACAATTAACATACATACATGTTACACATTTGCATTTCTGTTGCATATGTATAGACCATACGCAAATGCATATCAGCATTGTTAGGTTACTTATGTAGAATTCTAGAGACCAAGTCAATCATGTGAAACACAACTGAAATTTTCTGCTTTGAGCTAACATTTCATTGCAGAAGGAAAAAGAAAGGAAATTTACGAAACCCCATAATTTTGAGGCACAAAGGTCATCAGACAAGTGGCAGGGAAACGTTATCACACAATGACTTTCTCTGCACACTAAATGGAAAGAATGGTGGAAAGAATTTCTCTGGCCAAAATTTTGGCCACAGCCGTATTTTTGAGACTCTGCAGCTCTGCCCTATAATTCGGTCACCCGTCCTCTAAGCATTAAGCAACTTATCAAAGTGACAGTTTTATTGTAATTTTTGCTAATCACAGCAAATCCTTGAATTGCATCCAATTAAAAACTATAAACCCCTTAAAGCTTTTCAGGTATGAACATTTTCCAGAATCAGATAAACATGTTTTTGTGAATGGAATTATAAACTGGATCTAAAAATCAAGCCAACTGCTTTAATCACCATAATATTTCGAGAGAGTTTCGGAAGTTTCACTATTTTTGACTGAAAGATTACATTCTACTAATACTGAAAGCACCTTCCAAATTATCAGAATTAGTATTTGGTAATGCTTAGACTTTATTTAGTTTCTTCTTTCAAATACATATAGACTCCAACCTACAGTAAAATTTCTCAGTAGTCAATGTGCAGATGGCATTTTTACAACTTTGAAAACGAGCATATGTTTGGCATATTTGTATATAACGTAAGGCATATTTTTTCACTAACCATTATTGTAATAAATTTAATTGCATTTAACATAAAATCCATATATATAATGAATAATTAAAAATACTTCTTGTAAATTATATGTATATTTAATTAGAAATTTTCCTTTTACTCCTCAAGCAAAAATATCACTAAATATATTATTACTGAAGCAAATATTTTAAATCAACATTATACAGGAAAATCTAGATTATTGAAGCAAATATTTTACATATTGAAGCAATTATATTATAGAAGCAAATATTTTAAGTCACTGAAAATCATACAGGAAAATCAGAATCCACAAATAATATACCTTTATGAGGTTTCTGGATTCTTATTTCTACAGGGAAATAAAATTTTTAAAAAAAATTTAATTTTAGATATACAAGAATAACACACATCAGAAAGTACTTATATTTTATTTGTACATTATAAACGCAAGGCTCAATATGTAGCATGCTTCAGATCTGAATTAAAGAATTTTTTTTAATAACACAATTCTTCATTTGCCTGCAAATTTATCTTTTCAATCAGAACTGCTTCACAAGCTAAATACCATACCTAAAATTTGTTAAAATTCAGCCATTGGTCCTTTTTGTTTTTAGCATTCAAGCCCTGTAACCAGAAAAATAATTCTCACCCTCAAAATGAATGCTGTGTCTTACTTCATACTCCATACTATGAGTGACAAAATGATGAGGTCTTCATAGAATAGATTCTTGGTTATTAGTAATCCAAACAAGTGATGAATAAATGAGATATGACGGCAGTTTATGAAGCTTGAATCCACACACAACAATAAATCATTTATTTTAAAGACTAGCATTTGGCATTCCTGTCATTACAGGCCAGAGTTTCTTTTACACTGAACTGATCAAAACATTCATCAGCCACCCAACAGATATAGTGATTACCATCGCTGACTGTCCTGTCGTGTTGAAGGGCCTGGGTTCGAATCCCGGAGAAGGCATGGATGTTTGTAAATGTACAGTGTCGGTATGGCATGACGTCACTCCAAATATGCGGCAAGCCGAAAGTTTTCTCGTGTGGTTTGTGGAAGGGAAGAAGGGTGAGAAACCCTAGGACCCATGATGATCTTTATCAAAATTGGGGGTGGAACTGAGCTAAATCGCACTGTCACCTGAACGGTGTTCAAGGCTGTTGCCAATGGCAGGCGTATTCTAGTGCTCCTTGCCATGAGAAATTTTGTGGGCTTGGGCTCAGCATAATCAACAACAACAACAACAACATTCATCAAACACTGTATGTGCATAGTGCTATCTATATAATAACATTCTCTACAGTATTTTCAAAGCATTATTGTTTTCTCTTATAAAGCTCAAATTTATTTCTAATTTACTTTCTGCATGATAAAGAGTTAGGTACTTAATATTAATTTTTCTTCTTTATTTTCTTAGTTATCCTTGTATCTACTATTATGTAGCAAAACTTTTTTTTTCTCTTGATTTACATAATGAAATGTAATAAAAGGGATTTAGAAAAAGATTTTAGAAAGGCTATTTACGGTTTGCAGTTATTATTGAACAAAATACCTTACTTAACTACTTTTTATATATTTATTATAACCTAAAATTATATTATTACCTTATCCTAAAAGAATACATTGCTTTATCTTCAGAACTCATATGCGTGTGACCAAGTTTCATGCTACTCTGAAAAGCTTTAGAAAGGGCTTCATCTAGCTGAAACATCTCAGAATCAGTGAGAACAACAGATTCCTGTTAAGAAGAATAAAAAAAAAAAAAAAAAAAAGGGGGGGGGATAAATGTATTTTATAATAAAAATTATACATGCATAGCATTCACAGTATTAGAAAAATTAGTTTCAAGCATGTTACATATACTGTAAAGTTAAACTGAAGAACAAATTTTTTGATTCAGTTTAATTTCAATTATTATTAAAATTCATTATCATATTGAAATAAAAAAACTTACAAAATTATATTAAAAATATAAAAATAATTTTCGAGTGAGACAGAAAAAAAAGATGTTACTTAAAAATTACTTTTTTTACAAAGACAGCAATAAAAAGTTTAAAAAAAATGTCATACTCCACTACAAATGATTTTGAACTAGTGGGAATGGAGTAGGGGGAAATTTCATGAAAAATATAATAATTAGAGATAATAATTGTATGTGAATTGTGAATTTTCCAGTCTTTTTAAGATACTGAGTGAAAATCATTGAACACTAACATTTTATTATATTTTATTCAATATTTTTCACTTTCCTGTACTTATTATGCCTGTTTAGTAATTTCCATTAATTAATTAATTTTTAATTAAATTCACTTTCCTGTACTTATTATGCCTGTTTAGTAATTTCCAGATCACAATTATAAAAGTATAAAATATATACAAAACTGCATTGAAAATTAATAACATTTAAAGAAAAAAATATAATTATTTTCATTTCTGATAGTTAACAACTTAAAAAAGTACAGCAATATTGAGTTTCATGAGACATCTAAAGAAAAAAATATTTTTAATGATTACACAAGCAACATTATAAGCGATTATACATTAAAAAAAATATTTTTCAGTATTTTTATCCTTTTTTCCTCTATAACAAACAGTAATATGTCACTTATAAATTATTTTCTATCTTTATTTTATAACTCATAGCGTGTATCATACATGCATATGTAAGCTGAGACGTTTCGGAATTGGTTCTTTTATTTATCATATGTTTTTTTTTTTGGGGGGGGGTTCCTCCAAATGATAGCATTGTATCAAATTGCACATTTCGTAACTTTTTATAAACAGTTCAAAAGAAGAGAAATGCAAATCTATCTTTTATCGGTTTAGGCTCCAAGCATATGATTTGGAAATATTTACATAATAGTCACTGTTCACTCTCTGCCTCTGGATGTGCAATTTTAACATTTGCAACCCCAATGGATTGATGCCAGATGTGCTTTGTTAGCACACTGAAGCGTTTCTATCATAGAAATAAAGAATAGCTAAATGTTTTACCACCATATTGTAACACTTACAATGTTTTATTACTGCTGTTCCTAAGTTTAACATAAAATTCAATTACATCTCTACAAGGGACATCTCCCTCACCTGCCACAATAAAATGTACAACATACTTTCATTCACTGTGACTAAATACTGAAGACTGGCATATTCTGAAATCCTAAATTTTCATAAACCGCAAGTGAAACACCAAAGTTAAAAAAAAAAAAAAAAAAAAAAAAAGTTAGTAAATTGAAGTACACGTACTCAAAAAGTAGTTATAATATTTGCATAAAAATATACTGTTAAATATTGTATAGCATATAAAATAATGAAATGTATAAAATAAAAATTTTAAACTCACAGAACAGTAAGATCTAGAGCAGAAATTCTTTCAGGTAAGTCTCAAAATTGTTTACATTCTAAAGTCATAATTCATATTTGCTTAATTGATGCATATTTTCAGTTATAGAAACTAGAGATGGATGGTCCTCTCTGGAACCGACTCACTTAACTGAGCAAATGATCAGCGCTCTAGCGAAAATGTAATGGCAGTTCTTTAACAGTTCACCGAGAGCTGTTGTTGGAATATGTGGAAAAATTTAATTCTTCTCAACATAAACACTAGCATTCTTCGCTTTATTATTTACCCAAAATGTCTCTGAGCTTTCTTTTAACGTGTGTATGTGTGTATGTATGTATATATGTATGCTTTTAATTTGCTTGTGTTCTATCTAGTATTTAAAAAACAAAACATTAAATAAACCGATGCATCTCAGCAAACCTGAACACCCCTATTTGCAAATGGATGGATTCCCCCCTTCCTCTGACAGTGCAAGGATCCGTTTATGTGGATTGTAGGAACTAGTTCATTTGATTCTCAACTGTTAGAGCTCCGGGTCTAGTCACAGATCTGGGTCCTTTGGAGTTGTGATTATTCATTCTTTCACTGCTTCTGCTCTAACCGCGGATCTGATTCCTATTGAGTCTTCCTTATTCGTTTTTATCACTCCTGCTCTAGCTGCAAATCTGGCTCCTGCGCAGTCTTGATTATTGCTCTTTTCACATCCTCGGAACTGTTCCTTTGAATTTCATTTCGATTCTTTGAATACTATCATAGTATAGCTATGTATATTAGGTAGCACCTTTTTAATGCGATATTACTGTAACATTTATGTAAAATAATAAATTATATTTTTAATTATTTACTTATTTTAAAAACATCTTGTAATCAAGAGCTGTGAATTTCTCTTAATCTTCTTTAGAATTAGTATATATTTAGAAATATAAATCTTTCCATCTAATATATTTTTTCAAGGTTGCAAAACAAAATGTGGACCCTACCAAACAGAGTAACTTCACATCATTTTGTCAAATTCTATGGAAAAAAAAAAAAAAAAAATAATGTTGATATTTTCAGCAGACAATTTCCTGTTCTTTGGGATCTGCTTCCAATCTAAAAAATTATTTTTACACTGTGCTTTGTAGTAGCAACAAAATATCAATTATAGTAATAAAATAATGCAATCTTTAACAAAAGTGAGTTTAGGTTTCATTATTTTTAACATTCAGCATTTTTTGTTCCAGAAATGTATTGTTGTTAGACTAAAGAAATCAGTTAAGAGGAGTGAGCGGTTGAGTTGATAAGAACTGATTCACTTCAGTGAGCAAATGGTTCCGATCTGATCTTTTAAAGGAGCGGTTTTGTCCATCTCTATTAGAAACTGATACTATATTGTACCACATGTTAATTTATTTTCAAAGTCATAATGCTTCTATATAAAAAGTCAGAAAATATTAAAGGCATACAAAACTATCTGCATGCAACATAACATGAAAAATAAAGTAACAAAGGGAACTTACTACATCACTTCCATCAGGTTCAGCAGCAGAACCAAGAGCACTTTTAACTTTTTCTCTGAATTCCTCATCAACTTTGTCAGTGTTACTTACTTCTTCATCACTGCTGCTTTCGGATACAAATTCTATTTCCTCATTTTCTTCTCCTTTAAAAAATAAAATTAGATAAAATAATTATATGTTAAATAATACACAAGCCAATATTTTCCTAACCTAACTACAACAACTTACCAGATTCAATTTCCATCTCTTCTTGGCTTGGATTTTGTGGATTGATAACCTAAAATACAGTAAAAAATAAATAAATGGAAATTTATTTAATAAATGGAAAAGCAAACCATTATTCATGCATACTTAGCGAAATAATTTGAAAGATACAATTTTCACATGCAATGAATATTCAAAATTTTCAAAAATGTTAGCTAGTGTTAAGTTAAAATCAGAAAAACTTTAAATACTTGATTTTTTAACTATGATATTTTTCAATAACTTCTGCAGAAAATTAAATTAATTTAATTGTAAAAATATAAATAGATTGATGTGATGGACATCTTTTATAAAGATTTTACACATAGTTTAGCTCAACTATGAATACAGAAATAGACAATGCAAACACATTGTTTGAAAATCAAATTTGTCGTTAATATCTTAGTTTAATGTTTTTATTTATCTCATTACTCCTGAAAAGAAGACAACCAGCCAGCCAAGGATCAACAACAATAATTAACTAATAAACTACAATTATATTTCTGCAATCAATTTTAACATATTTTAAAAACAACAATGAAATTGTATACTAAATAATGTTTCAGTTTTCTAATGTGATCAACAGAGTGAATAGGGAAATTCTTATTTGTACAGCAATGTCCCTGTATATAAATATCCACATCCTTAATAAGTTTATCTTCGTTAATATCAGAACTTTATGAGTATTCAGACACTTGCATTTGTGCCAAGGTGAAATCGTAAAAATTTATATTTTGGAAAATACTGATTTTCATGATAGTGCCTTGACTTTTATAATAGACACTACTATAAAAGCATCACTTCACATTCACAAACTTCTGGGTTTTTTTCTTTTTTTTAGATATAAATTCAATTCATGAAATAAAAAATTCAGTACATATTATTGAAACATCAATGAAAAAATATTGCTAAAAGTTTCATGAAATATTTGTAAATTAGTCGATATTCTTCACATGCAAAATTATCTCAACATAACTTAGAACATAAAATTGCACTGATGCTTTAAATACATTTCAACATTGCTATATTGGAAGTAAACTTACATCTAGAACTACTTGCAAAGCTTCTTTTGTTATGAAAGGACACAGTAATGGAAACACAGAAATGATGAGTCGATGCACATGATGAGAGGAATTTGATAAGAGAGATAATAGCACATCAACAACAACCCCAATCCATGGAGGTTCATTTTCCTCATCTGCAGTTTGATCTAGCTGCTTTTGAGCTTTCAAAGCTTTCTTGCAGCATATGTTTAATTCCTAAGAAAGAAGAAAAGGACAATAGAAATACTAAATTATGTTCTAACTGAAAAAGGAAATTTTTAAACATATATTTTAAGAAATCAAATAACTTTTCACAAAACTAATGATTTCCTTAGGTGGCTGTGCACATTACATTGCACAATATCCAATAACCTTGCAATTAAAGTAATTCTATTATCAGGGGGAGAATTCTCAGTTATTGTTGCATACAACTGGTGACAAGCAGTAGTTTGATCGGCATTTTCTGATTATCTGTACCTCCATCTAAAAATTGTGCATTTATTGACAACTTTGGAGAGCATTTGCAAACTCACTGTCAGTTAATCTTTCACCATGTATGAAAGGCAACAGAACCTTTCAAAATAGCAGTGCACTACGAATTTCACCCAGCAATCAATAAAATTCAAATTGCAAGAAACAGCAGTAATAAATCATTTATCTTTTTTGAGAAATCATTCTCTTTTGCACTGTTGTTCTCTCCACATACACAGCAATTTCTTTTTCATTTAAAAAATTATCAGAGAATTGCATAAATTTGGTAGTGAACAACATTGGCCATTAGCTACAACTGCTTCATTAATACTTTTTCGACAATTTCCGGTGAGGGTGCAGGTGATTAAAAAGTACTGTTCAATCATTATAGTACATAATCTAAAATCCATTTTTACATTAAAAAGTTGAATGACATAACAGCTAAATCCACCTTCTTCACAGGGCAACCGCTGAATATTGGGGAGGGTGGGAACCACAGAATGTAAAAGAAATAATTAAGGAAACAACAAACGTCATTTTATAAATGTTACTGGTCACTGTCAAGTTGGTCTCTAACCGAGATGTTAGCCATACAGAGTTTAGATGCCAGCTCATTAGAAGATACTATAATGTAGCTTGCAACTTATTAAAAGATGACAATATAGTTAATTTTGCAGACGACTTGAGTACACGAGTCACTCTGAGCAATAAGGGAGAGACAAAACTGTAACGGCATTGTATGTACAAAATTAAATTACAGCTAGGCATATGTTAATGCAGAAGGACATATCATTTAAACATATGGGCAGTTGATAAACTAATAATCAGAAATATAGATATTCATACTGCATTATGTACAGAGTTAAATATAGTCAACAGCACTGAGTATAGAGGGAGTGTGCCGCTGTACTCATATTGCCACAGGAAACTTATGTTGTGGATATGTTTGAGGCAGGCTGGATATGGCTTGAAATGACTCAGGAGGCAGTGGCACAATATGTAATGATTGAGGCAATTTTATTTTGCGCAGATCTGGTACTGCAAATGTTATCGGCCCATACTGACAAGTTTGTAGAAACTGATTTTTTAAGGTGGTACCCTGAAGTCTGTGGGCAGTCAAATATTTGTAATGGTCTGGTGTTCTTATAAATGTTACTAATACAACTATTCAAATAACTATACTATAATATACTATATGACAAATTTATAGTGTATATACTACAAATGATTAACATAATATAACATGCATTACCATAAATCCAATCACATTCAGAAAAAATTACATAACATTTATTATTAGCTTTATAATTAGTTATACAAATATCATACCTCTAAAGCTTCAGGAATATGCTGAGGGTCATGAAACAAGTGAAATCCTAATTGCAAGAGAAGTGTTTGAAAAATTTTAGCTTCATGGATATTTTCTTTCTTGTCTTGTTTAATTAGTTTATGTACTACAGATTTCATGTGTTTCCATGCCTCTTGGATCTGTATTATATAAAGTATTCATAAATTTAAGTAAATTCACACAGTGGGGAAAAAAAAAAAAAAAAAAAAATTAGCAACCATAAAAGTTAGTCATTAATTAGCACTGTTATATAACTTCTTATTCGGTATTCCATCCTCTGAATAATACTGAAATACCCTAATATGTGAGCAAAAAAATAATTCTGAGAAGGTAACAGAGAAAAATTCCATGATATCTGAACTCAGAAATAGCATCTAAAGTAATCAGCGTAGTATCTAGATATTACGAGAATGTATAATATTAAGACATAAGAAAACAACAGATTTTGAATTTTACAATTAACAAACACATTTAACAGTCAAAATAATCGTATCATAATTTTAAATTATTCATTGTGTGTTCTACTACGAAGCAATAGGCCATCTGAAAATTTTAACTAAATTAAAATTTTTCATAGGTCCACATATACTAAGAATAAATAAATAAAATTATTTTTAAAATTATGCAAAATTCACATTTATATTGGTTGGTATTAATATAACTTGCCATCAAATGTTTTCAACACATGGAAACTGTCAAATAGTATGAAGCATGATTTCAGAACATAATCATAAGATCTTTGTCTTGATTTTATATAATCCCACTAAATCCTTAATAGGCTTTTTTTTTTGGTTGGGGGGGGGGGGTAAAGAAGGATAAATGTCACTTCTCTGCTTTTTCTGCACATTTTCAGAAACTGATTAAAATTTGGAATATGTCTTTTACATAGCAGCATGCAGTGAAGCATTTTCAAAATTACAAAAATCCTGGCATCAAAATGCATGCATTAGTGTACATAACATGGAACTTTATTTGAAAAACAGATAAGCAATAGTGATGAATTGAGCTTATATTTAATTTTTTACATGATATATCTATACTGTGTACCTGTTGATTATGTAACTATACAAAGAGTTCCTTTAAATTTCTGTTGGACTGACTGTTATATATTTAGTATATAATACTTATTATGTTAGAAATTTAAGTAACACAGTTTCTCATAAGTTGTCTTTAATAAATACAGATAAAATATACCTCTTGTACTTATTTTTCTCATTGCATATTTTAACATAACTCATATTTGTCATTAGACTTACCAAGTAGAAAAAAGAAAGTAATAAATTTCATAAATTAAAATATCACACCCTAAATATTTAAATACTGAAGGATGCCTATGCATTATTATTCCAAGTTCTCTAATACATGAATAAATAATTTTAGAGTAAGAAAGAAGGAAAAAGTTTGCCCCTTCCTCTCCTTTAATGTTTATTGCACTTCAAGCAGACACTTAAAAGCAATTTACATATCACAATGGTAGTATGATACCCAAAAGTTCCTATCAATAATTATTTATAAATAACATAAAATTTTCTTCTGCTTAATTGACCAGCATTTAATATTACCTTTTACAATAATGTTACATGAAACTCTTTTCTTTGTTGCCATATAATAATTATAATATAGTTAATATTAAATATATAATTAAAACTGTAGAATGAATTTTTACAAAGGAAATTACAAATTATACCTTTTCAATAGGGAAAGCAGGGGATACATTTTCATTTGCAGCTATAAGTTGATCAGCATACTCAGCAAGTGATAAAAGATACTCCAAAAACTGGTGAAGAGGGGTTCGCTGATTTTTTGATGTGTGAGATAGAGAATAGAAAGACTTATAGAAACTACTGACAAAGAACTCTCTCAGCTTGTCTGGAACTGCACCGCATGCATGCTCACACTAAAAGTAAAAATAAAAAACAAATAAAAAATCTTTACTAATTTTACTTGCATTGAAAAAATTCAAATTCTTTTGAAAACTCCACACAAGTCACAGAGTACTACAGCTTTTGGATTAATGATGCACTGTAAATTAACATGAGTTTTGAATGTACCTAAATATTTGAATTTTGGAAACTTCACAAGTCACAGAGCATTGAACACAGCATTTGATAAATCTTTTAGTTAAATTTTACCTCTTGTCAAAAATTTGTTTAAGAACAGGAAGGTTGCAAAAGTACAATGTTATATAATCAGGTTTAATATTGTTTATCAGGGTCAAGTTCTCAAATTACTAGATCATCTTGGTTAGTGCAGGTGATAAATTCCCATACCAATGGCATCTGGGTTTGAATCTTGGGTAAAGCATGGACATTTGACTAGTTTTTATGGTGACACAGGAGCATTTAAAATTTGTCAAACGAAAAGTTCTCTCAAGAAGTTAGTGGCAGGACAAACACAGGAAATCAGGCTATCAGATCATATCTCAAGGGAAATTTTGGTTGAAACTGAAATGAAGTTTAGATAGACAACCCTGGGTTGCTTCATCTAAATTAAATAAGTCTAATCTAACCCTTAAATTTTCAGGAAACAAAGCACAATAAATGTTTGTTCTGAATAAAGTCAAATTTTGAAAATGATAGTCATCATTTGTATCAAAAGGATGCACATATTCCCAAAAATAAAATAAAACACAAGAACTCATAAACCTTAAGAGATCTAAATCATTGCAATAAATTATTTGTGGGACTAAGAAAGAACTACAAGATGCAATATTAGTTAATGGCTATTGCTATTTGATATATTTTACACTGCAAAAGCGTAAAAGATATGCTTTGATTTAAACCAGCGTTTCTCAACCTTTGGACTAACGCGTACCACCTAAACAAAAATTATAAATTTTAGTACAACCATTACAAAGTACTACTGCCACCCCCCTCTTGAACAAAGCTCAGATCAATTTACAAGTGTTAGAGAAAAAACTCAATCAGGATGTTTGGGTTTTAAGTTTTGAATTTAATAGTTAAAAATACTTTGCTTCTTTGCATACCACCTATTTTTCTCTTGTGTACCACCAGTGGTACGCATACCACTGGTTGAGAATCCCCGATTCAAATCATACATACTTTACTAATAAGAAGTGTTAGTATCAATATATTTACATTTCCTCTGTCCACCTAAATTTCATAAAGGGGAATTTATAAATCATTCACAGTATTTGGAGCTTAACATTTGAATTGCTCAAGAGATTCAAACCTGTAAAAATAATATTTAATGCTGTTATATTTTTTCTAACATGTTGTTAAATAAAACTGTGAAGTAGGAATTTTGGAATGGTAAACTGAAATTAAATTTTAAATACATTTTAAAGACCTTTATGAGCAATGTGACAGATGAGGGAAAAAAAATTTTAATATTTTTATTAATACAAAGCTTCTGAAATGCATTTTAATAGTTTAAGGGGTATTAAAAGGTAAAACTGCAAAATGATGCAAACTTATAAAATCATACAGTAAGGGAGATGGGAAATGAAACTGAATTAACACAGCCTTCTGACTAAAATTAAAATAATTAACTTACATGCAATATATCTTCACAAGACACTTTAATATCGAAAAAAGAATGCAAGAATAAAAATTTCATAATGTTCAGTCTCCATTCAATATCACCAATCATTACAGGATGTGACAGCAAATTCCCAATCTAAAATTTAAAGAAAAAACTCAACTTTTGAAATAAAATAAATAAATAAATAAAGTTTTAGAAATTGCAAATTACATTATTTCATAATTTCTGCACCTTTTATTCATTACAGATATTAATATTTTACCTATTGTTTCATTGAAAAACAGACTAGCATAATACCAAAAAAAGTTTTTATTCAATGAAAATTTTATGCTGTTAATCATAAAAAGTGTATATTATTTAAATTAGTCTAATTTAAGCATTTATTTTTGTGATAAGAATTCAAATTTTTAATGTAAAACAAAACACAGCCACTACTTAAAAACAGACACATATTAATTAGTCAGAAAATGAGCCTTAAATGATACTAGGGAGAAAAGTAATTAGCAAAATTTATTTCAGTTTTCCTCTTCTCTTTCATTTAATAAGCATAAAAATACTTCACTGATAGTGAAACTGTTAAGTAAAATGTCACCAAAAACAGCTTCAATATCATAAAAATTCAAAAGTATCATAAAAATTATTAATTATTGTTAAAAATCACTTACTTGTACTACTGCATAGAAATATTTAGAACTTGCAACGCTTTCCCCTTCAATGCTATAAAAAATACGACATCATACTATCATGCAAAAGAGAAAACAAATAGCTATTAAAAATTAATGGAAGATATGCACAGTATATAAGGCTTGCTCATTGATATTACATTTAAAGGCTATTTAAACTTCTGATACTTTTCTTTCAGTTACATTGAATTTCTACCAATACGTATTTTTTTAGTTTCTCAAAATTTTCTAAACAATACTTAACAAGAAGGAATATTCATTAAATTCAGTCACAGTACCCTTGAGTCTGCATAGCAATATTATTTTATTTCTATTGTGAATGAAATCACATATAATTTTTCAGTTAACAGGCTGAATTTGGCTTACAGTATTTTAAAAAGACTATGGGCTACAGTCTCAAAACTGCCTATTTTGCTACCAAATTCTGAAAGAGGAAAAAGAAAACCTCTAAAATGAAGAAATTTAAATAATTTTTATATGTATTTAAATGAGATTGCCATAGTTTCATAAATTGTCCTGAATATATTAATGCAAACTGCTAATTAATAATATATTAAACAGAAGAGAATTTTAAAATGTCTCTTAATGGGCAAAATAAAATATAGAGTACTGATAATTCCATCCTTTAGTTTTCAAAAACTAAATTGTAATTAGATGGATTTTTCATGTTTTGTTTTTTAAAAATATGCATAATGTATACAAGAGCCAACTCTTATAAAGTTTCTGAAAAAAATGGCAACCCTGAGAACTGCTCCAAATTAAAATTTAAAGATTTTGTATATTGTAAGCATTTAATATAACATATGAAAATTACTACATATGCGGGAAATGGTGATGCAACTGTAACTTTATTATGTAACTTTCACGTACTATATCTAGATGAGCAGGCAGACAAGACGTTAATGAAGAATGAAGACATGGTGTAACATTATTTTTTCTTTTCTTTTCATTTCGATTTATGTAACTAAATCGTACTTTAGTAATAACTCGTTGAGTTTTAGTTATGATCATTAGTGATGTTTCTCATGTATATATATATATATATGGATGCTGCTGCACAAGTGTTGAGGGGAATGTGAGAATTTTAGGAAAATTATGAAGAGGAGAGGAGGAAAATCTTGAGAATCTAATTATAGGACATTCTTTATTTCTATGAATACATTTTACAAGAAAAAGAAAATTTAATGATAACAAATAAACAATATTTATTCACTGTGAATTTAGTTTAAGATAAGGATTCGGATGTTATCTTTTCAGAAACAGCCATCAAGTTGCCTTTATCATTCATGAAAATAAGCAGATGGAATATATCTTTGAAATGCTGATAAATTTCCACTAAATTTTCATGCACTGCACAAATATGTATTGATTTTGTATTAAATAATATCCTATTACAAAATTTATAAAAAGGAGAGAAAAACAATAGTGTGAAAACAAACAAAAAAAAATGATATCAGATCATTTTATACAATTAAAATTAATGTTAAAGTGTTAATATGAAACAAACATTTTCTTGAAATAAAATGCATTGAATTAATAAACATACTTTTCATTTTCTTGATTCAAAACAACAGTTTTTAATAGTTCACAAAACTCCTTGACTGCTTCAGGTAGAAGCTGCAAATATATGTAAATGTTTTATTCGGAAAAGCTTCCACGAAAAGATTGTAAATACATTTATCAATCACAAATACACACACAAGAAAACTTCTTACACCAAAAATATGTATGCATTGTGATATACTTTTATATTTCCTTACTTTCTTTGCATTATATAGCATAAGGCAGAAGTTACGTACCAGTGACTTATATAATCAGGTGTAATTGATAACATATAAAGTGTAAGGACTGCATTTTATTTTTAAAAATGTGTATTTTATTATTAATTTTGTTTATTACTTATATTTATGTATTTAGTTTCACTGTGCATTACTAAGTTAAAATGGTCCTCTGTCAGCATACTTTCAGGCATATATTTTAAAAATGTTTTAAGTAATATCATATAAGAAATAGTATATGGTGGAAAATAAACCAATCACATTGAATTTAAAGAAATTCTGAAGATATTACAGATGTTAAAAAAAAATGAATTTTCTTCTGGGAAGTCCTATTTTTTTTAAAGATTTTTAATACAGAAAAAGTTAAGTAAGCTTATACGTTAACATAAATGATCTATAGTTAATTACAAAACCACTCTGAAATACTGAGACTTCTTACATTCATTAATCACAACAGCTTTTTTTCTTACCTGTACCATTTATACAGGCAAGAAATAGCAAGCCAATTTTACAATTTTTTAACTATGTCATTTCTCATTTTGGAATGCAAAGATTTTGATGGGAAGAAATATGAGGCAGAAAAAATACCTTGCCTCATCAATACTAGAAAAATCTAAATGCTGCTTGGCATATTTTATCAAGAATGGTTGCTTCAGAATCAGAAGTCAGACTTACCATACTGCTGATGGCAAGTGATATCACATCAGTTTTTAAATTTGCTGATATATTCCAAGCAAACTTGTAAGTCCAGCTAAAAGTGTCCTGTTTGAACCATGAAAAGCAGTGCTTTATGATTATCAGGATACGGGAAAGTACAAAACTTTTCTCAATTAGGTTAAAAAAGTGTACATTAATTGAAAAGCGCCATATAACCAAATAGCAATTCATAAACCGATCAAAGAATGCATGTACGTGTGCAATAAAACCTTTCAACAAAATTAAAGAACAAAAAAAATTTTAAATATGCAGTGTGTGCAAAATGCAACTTTATACATGGTATTAAAATATGTGCATGAAAATAAAATAAAATTATCCTTCACTAGCAAGCTCCAGACCAAGCTAAACTTTTAAGTATCTAAATTTGGATTACAATGACCTGTCTCTAGACGTGGAAAATGACATAGTAAAGTCTGCCTTGTTTGACAGCATTTCATGTTGACTTTGTACCTAAGTTGCGATGAGTCAATCAGCGCCATAAACCATACAGGTCAAAGCAGATGATGTGTTTTATATCCAATAGAAAACCTCCATCGGTCTCGGAACCAACATAATAATTTTACACAGTTTTCAATATTCATTCTTCAGAGCTTTATTTTTTAAATAAGTTGCATTAATAATAATAGTACGGTACAAAGTCTTTAATCCGGACATCCATAATTCAGAATGATCTATAATCCGGACCTCAAAAGCTACAAACTTTCTGCGCATGCGTTTATGCATGCGCATAATACCTTTATGCATGTGCATAATACGTTTACGCATACGCGTTTAATGTATAACAGACGATATAAGCTAAGCTAAAACTATCTAATTATCTATTTCAGTTAATGTTGCAGATTGCATTGTTCCTTAATCTTCTAATTGGATTCGGCTTATTATTTTTTGCAGACTGTTTGAGCAATATTATAAAAAGTAAGCTTGATCTTTCGTTTATGTCAAAAAGAGTTTCTGATTCTGGAGCTGCCAAAGGCAAAAGCATGTTTCGATGTACCACTTCCGATAGTGAAGAAAGTAACAAGGTTATCAAGAGGTTATTAAAAACGAAAAAATTTCGATTGACAAGTTAGTCGGTATTCTCAATACACCAATTACAGGACTTGAACGGTGGAACTGAACAAGAAATTATGTCTGTTTATAAAATTAAAGAGAAAGTATTAGCACAAAAAAAAAGAAGCAACTTAAACAACTATTAAAAGGAATGTTTAATAATGTAAACAAATAAATATTTAGCTTTTTTCTTTGTAAATTTTGATACCCTTTAGATCATAATTGCTCTTTATTTCATAAATTATGGTTTCATATTTTTAATTTTATAATTTCTGCATGCCATTTTAGCAGATTTAAGTTGATGATCTCTAATCCGGAATCGCCAAAGTCCCGACGAGTCTGGATTAAAGACTTTGTACTGTATAATAAACAGGATGCTTAATAACAAACAAAAACACGGATTAAAAATGCCACTAAAAGTAATTAAAAGTTGTAAACTAAAATGATTATAACAATAATAAAATTAATGAAGTAAAAAAGGAAAACAATTAATTATGAAGCATAATGAACGTAATGTTACTGAAAAAGCCCAAAGTCTGGTAAATCCTAGGTTTTACCAGTAAAACATAGCTTTTACCAAAGTGGCTTGGCAAAAGTCTGAAGTACGCTTTAATATGATTCCATTCTGCACTTTTACCAAGCCTTTGCGGTAAATCCTAGGACTTACAAATGCCTTCAGGTAAAAGCCCGAAAAGGCGGATTACTTATGATAGGATTTTCAATTCGCAGATATATTGCATGTCCCCAAAAAAGTTAAAACACGCTTTAACTTTTTAATTGATAATTTAAATTGTAAAAGTGATAAAAAATAAGGTTTGATTTAAGATTATGACGATGAAACTGTCTTATAATTATTTTTCAGAGTTACAAGAAATAAATTTTTTTTTTCAAAATGCAATATTTATGCCATTTCACAAATAAGATAACAGCTTTAAACAGCTGCATTTTCTGAGTCCTTGTCGCCCAATTAAAGACAGTTTGTTACTGCTTCATGTACATTTATTTCTCCTGTACCAACTTCTTCAATGTTCAAAAAATTTTCTTTGCAAAAGGTAACCTGGTTTTTTGTGTACAACGATTTTAATTTACTAAACTTAGTACCAAGAATATAAAACTCATCATCTTTAATGTCTGTAATAATGGCTGATACTGATTTTAAATCGATTTTGAATCAATAAGTACTTTTATTTTAACATTTTATCCTAGACTAGGTTTCGGAAAGCTTTTAGTAGACGCAATCTCATCTTCTTTGCATGCTTCTCAAGTCGTTCCTTAGCTGTCATTTGAAACACTTTCACATTTAACATTAAGACACAATAACACGCCGAATAAATACTAATTCAGAAGACAAACAACAAAAATCAGCGTTATATTTACAAAATTTCCACAGGACTAGTTTCGATGGTTTTACCGAACCACCATCCTCAGCTGCAAAACTGCAAATGAACAAGATAGGAAAAAATGATTAGATAAGATAAGAAAGCCTGGACAAGAATAAGCAAGTGGCGCCATCTGTTGGTGAAACCAGAACTAAAACATAATTTCTTTAAAGGCCGAAGGCAAATTTGGATTGGAATTAGGATCGTTAACTAGAACAGAAAGATTTTTATGAATGTGAAATGCCTCTAGAAAATCCAGTTCTCCAATGGAAGATGTTTTTTGAATAATTTTGGCAGCAGAAATATTGAAAGTGTGATTTTCGGACCAACAATGTTACAGAACAGAAGACTTCTGTGTTTCCTTTTTTCTAACATATGCCTCATGTTCCTTGATGCGAAATTTTAACGCTCTCTTAGTTTGGCCAATGTAAATTAAACCACACTGGCAAGGAATCCTATAAATACCCCAGGAATTCATATCTGGAATGGGGTCCTTAAGTTTGGAACACGGAATTTTATTGATGGGAGAATAAACAACCCGAAAGTTAAATTTCTGCAAAATATGTGCAACTTTATAGCTAATTGAGCTATAAAGTTGCACATATTTACACTGCCATTTAACATTGTTGATAATCGCACCCATTGAGTCCGAGCATATATCTGGTTCTTTTTTTTTTTTTTTTTTTTTTAATTTGAACTTCAGTATCTACTTCCATCACTATGCATGTTTCTTTTTCACATGCATATATATTGCAATTCTAAATCAATTGTTCGTTCAAGATCAATGCCTTCATCTGCTCTTAATTGGCCTTTATCATGGTTAATAACCATGGATTCATTATTAAAATTTATAATTTTTTCAAAGTCCTCTTCAGTGGACATGTTATTGATCAAAATATATGGAAAGACTTGAGTTAGGAAGTCCCAGCTTCATAGGGCAACCAAACATAGCCTTGTAAGGTAAACATTTGATTCCTTCGTGATATGCTTTATTTTTCATTGCCTGATCAAACTTTAATCCTCCCAATCACTTTTCTGTCCTATTTGTTTCCATCCATGTTGCCAACATGTTCTCAACATCTTGGTTCACTCCTTCAACAGATCCTTGCAATTGACTGTGTCTTGGCTCATTGTGAACTATTCTTATATCACACCACATTTTATATAAACTGTTTATGATATGGTTGCAAAATTCCCTCCCACTGTCAGAATGGAGAATGTTTGGGGCTTTAAAAGTTGTGAAAATATCCAGAAAGCGATATGTTACTTGATCAGATCTTTTACTGTGCAGACTTCGAAGTAGGACGAATTTTGTAAGATAATCTTTATACACTAAAATGAATTTCATATCACGATCAGGATTGGACTGCATATCTATTAGGTCAACTTAGCAATGAGAATTCATTTTGCACAACTGGTTTGATTACAATCCCCTTTTTCACAGTTTTTTGTCTTTTCTGACAGGGTTCATATAGTCTCAAATATGTGATGATAAATTCTACTATTACATTCTTTTACTTGCAATTCAGTTCCTTAACCAACTGTGGCGCCCTCATTTAAGAGTGTGCACCGTTTTGTGTCGCCAGAATCGAGCCATGACGAGTATATTCGTCAATCACAGAGTAAGTTTTGCTCGTAAGATATTGGCATGAAAAAGATGGGTATATTTTATAAAATTGAAAATTTTATTACT